GTGTTTTAGAAAGAATGGGCAGTGAAGGCAAATAAGGACAGCATTTAAATCCTGACTGGTTCTAGTGGTATCCAGTGGCTTAGTGATTAGCACTCCTGCCTTGCAGCACTAGGGTCATTGGGTCAAATCTCAATCATGACACTAACTGCATGGAGTTTGCATGTTTTCTCCCTGTTCTTGTGTGGGTCTCCTCCCACACTCAAAATACATGTTGGTAGGTTATTTGGCTCCTGTCTAAATTGGTCCATGTATGTATTTATGTGAGATTCATATGACCTTAGATTGTAAACTACATGGGGGCAGGCACTGATGTGAATGTACAGTATGTGCAAAGTGTAAAATGACAACGCTATATAAATAAATCATTTGTTTTTACTCAATCCATAAAAAGGGATTTTTTTTTTTGCTTCAGGGCACAGAACCCAACTATAAATTAAATATTTTAAACAATGAAAATGAAATATCACTTTTAGGTGCATTGGCAAATTAAAATTGGCTTATAGTCAGCATGAGCCTTTCTCAACCTTTTTACCCCCCAAAAAAACCCTTTAACATAATTTTTATTTCTCCTGGAACTATACAGGTACCATCAAATAGAAGGTCTATCACGCACTGCTCAAGGAACCCTTAGCAGCTTCCGGGGGGTTCCATGGAAACCTGGTTGAGAATGGCTGGTCTACATGCAGCAGATGCAGCCTTATGATTCTTTTCAACAATATTGTTATGTATGGAGAATAGAATCAGGTGATGTTGGTGAGCCATAGGATACTATGAACTACTGATCTTATACTTCTTTGTATAGGTGAAATAGTCATGAGCTCCACTTCAGTATACAGCCCATCTCTACTCCGAGCTCTCCAGTCTGGCCACATCAGAGCCTGCATTCCAATTACTGAAGGAGGGCTAATAGGAAGCATCCTGCGATACATACCAAGGTCCATAGGAATTGTTTTAGGTAAGCTGTCCCTATATGCCAGATTGCATAAACTGGGCCTTGTGTGTTTTAAAGCAAAATTCATGCAAATCTGATGTTTAATGAGCAGATGGTGGATAAGAGGTGGAACCATTCAACTATTGTGGAGGGTGGATGATAGGTGGAACCACTCAACTACTGTGAATGGTGGATGTTAGGTAGAACCAGGCGATTACTATGGATGATAGATGATAGGTCGAATGACTCAAATACAATGAATGGTGGATGACAAGTGGAACCATTCAACTACTGCAGAGGGTGGATGATAGGTGAAACCACTTAATTACTATGGATGGTGGATGATAGGTGGAACGACTCAACTGCTATGGATGGTGGATGATAGGTGGAATGACTCAACTACTATGGCTGTTGGATGATAGGTGGGACCACTCAACTACTATGGATGGTGGATGATAGGTGGGACCACTCAACTACTATGGATGGTGGATGATAGGGGGAACCACTCAACTACTATGGATGGTGGATGATAGGTGGGACCACTCAACTACTATGGATGGTGGATGATAGGGGGGACCACTCAACTACTATGGATGGTGGATAGGTGGGACCACTCAACTACTATGGATGGTGGATGATAGGTGGGACCACTCGACTACTATGGATGGTGGATGATAGGTGGGACCACTCAACTACTATGGATGGTGGATGATAGGGGGGACCACTCAACTACTATGGATGGTGGATGATTGGTGGGACCACTCAACTACTATGGATGGTGGATGATAGGTGGGACCACTCAACTACTATGGATGGTGGATGATAGGGGGGACCACTCAACTACTATGGATGGTGGATGATAGGAGGGACCATTCAACTACTATGGATGGTGGATGATAGGTGGGACCACTCAACTACTATGGATGGTGGATGATAGGTGGGACCACTCAACTACTATGGATGGTGGATGATAGGTGGGACCACTCAACTACGATGGATGGTGGATGATATGTGGGACCACTCAAACCCTTGTTACATCTTAGGGGGACTCTGCTGATTAAATACCCCAAACTGCAGAAAATTCCATCTCTGCCCAGCATCTTCAGCTATTGCATGTGGATTTGATTCTAACTATAAAGTTGCTACTTGCTGTGCATTTTGGTGAGGGCAACAGAAGCAGGATACTTAAATTGGCAGTACCTGTGCTGAGAGGAATGAAGGAAGATTGCAAGGAGATTCCAAGGCAGATACTATGATACAAGTCTATGGTGGATTATTTAGGTGCAAGAGGGCTGAGAATGAAAACAATGAGTTAAGATAACTAAAAGAGATGCTGTCTCCAACTACAAAAATACAAGGAAAAGAACATAATAATAAAGTATTTTACATACTTACTTGCTTTGCTTTTCCTTTGCATTGTTTTTTTTTATTCATGTGCAATGTGCCTTTGACCTTGCTAGAAAATTTCACTGCTCCAGGATAAATCTATTCCATAGTACAGTCCCCTCCCTCCTTACATGTCTTAGGCTTTTCCTCTTCTTTGAGTTTTTTTTTTTTTTGACTGTGCTGGCCCAGCTCTTCTGCCCCTCCTGTCACCTACTAAGTTGGCAGTCTAAACAGCAGTTTCTATACTATTTCAGATGCTCTGTGTTGGAAGATCCCTCAAGTGTATTCTTGGCTGTACAAGGAGGGAGGTTTGTCAGAGAAAGAACTGGTGGATAACTTCAGCTGTGGATTAGGTGCCATGATCATTGCACAGAGGACCATGGCCCAGCAGATTCTAGTGGACATCCAGCAGGAAGAGGAGGCATGGTTGGTGGGAGGTCTAATCCAGAATACCTCAGGTAATTTCAGTAAAGAGACAGTCATTCTGGATAAACACAAATGTCTCTGTGCCAACAATGGTGGACACTAGGGTCAGTTTATAACAGCCAGTAAAATACATTTATTGTCCTATAACACTACAATATCACCATTAGCACACAGTAGTTAACATAAAAAAGCAGCAATGCAAACTTTGATGTAATTTGAATTCCATATTAAATGACAAAAGACACAAACAAGTGCCAAGGAAATTGCAAGTAAGTCGCATGACTTTGGGTTCACAGCAGTGTGAACTGAGCCTTATGGTCTGGCAGTGTGCCCCTTTCCTGCTGTCCTGGAGTTCCCCCACAGTGGTGTAATGCCAAGGCCCGGTTGCAAGTGCAACCCTTTCGACCTTGGTTGTTCTGCCAGTGGTGCGCACTATGCAGGCATAGGAGTTGATTTACTAAAACTGGAGAGTTCATAATCTGGTGCAGCTCTGCATGGAAACCAATCAGCTTCCAGTTTTTGTTCGTCAAAGCTTAAAGTGTTACTATATCCAGGACCCTGCATTCACTATATCCAGTCTCCCGCAGTACACAGAACATGGAAATGCAATTAATTTAGCAGTATATAGCAGTTGTAACTTCTATCAGTGTCCAGCTGGGCAGTGGTTAAAGAGTTTTCATTCTGCTCTGACTGTCCTATGAGGCTGCATGACCCCCTGCCCCTCTGTCTGGACACTGCTGATTGGCCCTGTACTGATCACATGCACCTTCCCAAAGAAAAAAACAAACTCTAGCCATACACACTAAACTGAGCATGTGCAGAGTGACTCCTAGAGCTCTGTACTATCAGCAGATGGATTGGGGAAAGTACAAAAGGGAGAGGATCAGAGAAGACAGGATCAAACAGTCTTTTTACACAATGTGGAGGATTAACCCCTTAGGTTTCCCAGTGTCTATGACAAGTGTGCTTTACTGCATATACAGACTGATTTTACTGTTGTGGGTTTAGTAACACTTTAATTGAACAAGCTGAAGATAGAAGCTGATTGGCTACCATGCACAGCTGCACCAAACTGTGCAATCTCCAGTTTTAGTAAATCAACCCCATTGTGTAGTGTATTGTGGTGACATTTATTAAGGGCTCATGTACACTGCAGCTGATAAACTGACGTTCAGGAGCTGTTCAGCGTTTTTTTTCAGCAGCCCCTGAACTCTCCCTAATGTTTTCCTATGTGTCCATGTACACATAGTCATTTACAGTGGTTTACAGTCAGTTGAGTTTGCAGTCGTTTTTTTGAACGCACCAAACTTGCGTTCCGGAGTAGATTTTACCAGCGTTTCAAACGCTTGTAAACGCAGTGAACTGCGTTTACCCCCCTGCCGTGAACTGCGTTTATAAGCGTTTTTTAACTGTTCCATATCCAGATGCTGTCCAGAGCCTTTTTTCATCATCGGAAATGCATGCAAAGCGTTTCCCATGTATTCAAATGGACCCGGTAAAACAGCGCAGTCAGTTCCAGGTTTTGCGTTAAGGAAAAAAATGGTAGAACGTGCCGCATTATGCTCATGATGGGATCCATAGTGAATACAACCAGAAAAGACAGGTCATCTCAACACATACTGCTCTCTTTGCTTCTGCTTTCTCTATTTCTCTCAAAATGCCTAAAATAGTTAAGTATTTACTATTTTTCAGTCCATTCTGGGCATTTTGGAAGGTCTCCTGAGGTTATCGTTTAAAAACGCTTCTAAATGCAAACGCACTTAAATGCGGTATGCAAACACGGCTAAACTGACATTTTTTAACCTACGTTTTCCAGCAGTCAGTTTCCATTGTTCAGAAGAGTTTTCCCAATGCCCCGTGTACATGAGCTCTTAGAATAGCACCACAATCCATTATAGCATAGTACAGTAATGTTCGGACCACACTGCTGTGCATACCACAAAGGAAGGTCACATGGTGTTTGGGTACCATGAGACTCTGGAAATTCTGGGTGTTTAGGCCATTAGAGACTGCAGAGAGTCTCAGGGTCTATTTACGCTCAAGTGTTCTGTTGCTCTGCATTAATGCATTCATTAGCCAACGTATCACAACAGATTAAAAAAAAAAATACATGATCCCTTTTTATAAAACACAACTCACTGTATACATACAATGCCATGCATTGGGGTACTGCATGTTAGTGTGCCTTGCCACAAAGCAGAAGTTTGAATGGGGCATAAGTTAGACAGACCTGATCAGGGAGCAGGGGCGTATTGACCATTTGGAAACCCCGGCACAGTAGGGGGCCCCATGAGATGCCCCTGGTACCTTTTTCATAGGCTTTTTTGAGTTTGGACAAGGACACAGGGGCCCCATGAGTTGTCAGTCGGCCTCTGTCAGGGAGACTTCTAGGATTAGAACAATCAGAAAAGAAGCTCCTTATTAACCAACACCACAAAACTACAAATTCACTATTCCTTTCTCTGTTCAAAGCTATAATACATTTTGATTTAGATACATTTTGTGACATGGTTTCCACAGTTCCACTTGCTGATCTTTATTGTGATCATAATGTATTATAGATCCTTCTTATTTTATCATCACTTGTCAAATGTGTCATCTAAAATGCCAACAATTCCTTCTGTTTTATTTTCCAGACTTCTTGTGTGTCCGCATCAATCATCTTTTGGAAGCTTTGAAAATCAACACATTTCAGCTACTAAGAACTGTCATTTTGAAGAAAACACCTGCTAAGATCTCAAAGGCAGCTGTATTCATATCTAACACAGGTATGATTGATTCCTGTTCAAATTCCTTCTCCGGCCAAGTTTATTTTGGTTGAGTGGAGTAGGTTTGGAACCTTGGTCAGTTTATAAATGATGTGTCCCTGTTAAAGATATTTCTTCTCACCACCTTTTTTTTTTTTTTTTTTTTTGTTCTTTTGGGAGATTTTTCCTCACTTCCTTTTCTGTCTGACCGTCATTAAATAGACATGAAGTGAAGGAACTCGCAGAAGGTACTGAAAGTAGAGGAAGGCAAGTAGTTAGCATTTTCAAAGTACCGGTAATCTCAACAATAGAAACCTCCGGCTCCACATCATTCTGATGACTGGTTTCCGGAAAGCTCATCTTAAAATGTACTGGTATTAATATGTACTGTATAGTATAAGTCTAAACCTAAACAGAATAACGTAACTTCTAAAAAAGAAAAAGTACCTTTAATTCAAGTTTAAAAACAAAAAAACAAAAAACAACCTATGTGATCTGTAAAGCCTTCACTAAAGGACTGCATAGAAGCAGATCAAGATGGCGGCACTAATCACTGAAGCAATGTTTTGGGATTCCTATTGGTATTCTTACAGGGTCAGTGCAGAACATTACAACAATGTAACTGTGCTGTACTTGGCCAGCATGGGTGCCTTTGGGTCTTCCAGACATCAGTTCCAGTGTTGCAGAAACCCAGTTGGTTGCAAGGGCAGGAAGAGGTGGTTTCATAGAGAAATAAAGACTGTTTACAGAAAAAGAAGAGAGAATAGCCACATTTGATGTGTAGAAGAAACCCTACAGTTCCACATCTCAGTATGTTTTCTAGGAGATAGGTACTTCTGCCTCTATGATTTGGGTGGCTACCATGAGATGAATGGTGGGGGTCAATGTGTGGTCATGAGTGGGGGGGTGGCTGAATTGTCTCAACACCAAAGATGATAAATGTAGCTGTTTTGCTCTTCAGTTCCTGTTTTGTTAGGGTTTTGGGGTTGTATTGGATATGTGCAAAGAGAGATCACACAAATACTTATAAGGAAAACATTTATTACAAGTAATGACAGATACAGATAAAGATAAGGAAAATATAACAAGAATACTTAACTAAAGATGTTGTTTCCGTCATGGGTCCCTCCATTATATGGCATGGCTGATGATCAGAACAGACGCATGCTTAACGCAAGCTCTGGGTCCAGACACATATTTCCAGTCTGGCTGTGTGTTATATACTGGACTTGTGTGTAAGCAATCGACAACCCACCCCCCATGCAAACAAAAAGGAGAGCAGTGGTCTGCCTTGTCCAAATAGTCACATTCCTTTGCTATTCAAGGTAATCAGATCTTTTCCTCCTATAACCCTTTAACCAAGGCTTGGAGGCATTCTTAACCTCTTCCCGTCTGGCCCATGTCGATAAGCAGCCAGATGGTAGCGCTGCCGATGCGGGTGGATGTCTCTAAACGTCCCCCAGCATCCATTGCCCGTGTGCGCTCCCTGGAAGTGCGCAGTACTGCGATCGGTGCACGGGACCTCTATGTGAGGTCCCGATTCATGTGATTGGCCATTCAGTGATCACATGAACAGTAGTAAACAAAATGTCACTTCCTGACATCATTGCTTACTACGTGTGAAATCTGTGAATGATGACAGAGGTCACATGGTACAAGGCTATTCACAACAGCCTTGTACTATGTGATAAGCTGTGACCAATCACAGCTCGTACAGTATTTCTCAATGGCTGCAGGAATGCAGCCAGAGAGAAGGAGAAACAATTGCTTTTACAGCCTTTATGGGTGTAAAAACAATCAGTGTAAAAAAAGTTAAAAAAATCTTCATCACCCCCCCAAGTAGTACAGTGTCACTATGGTGGCACTGTACTGCTAGGGTGACAATATGTTAATAAACAAAAACAACAAAAAAAAAATAATAAAAATAACAATGTAAAAAAAAGTTTTGAAAAATTATTATTTTTGGTTATAAACTAATTTGGGTTATTTTTTTATTACTAAAAAGATAGATGAATACATTTTGGCCACGATTTATGAAGAATTTGTAAAATGTTAGAAAAACACTTTTTTTTCAAAATGTTTTGGACTTTTTCATTTATATAGCAAAAAAAGAAAAATCCCAGTGGTGAATAAATACCCCCAAAATAAAGTTTTATCTGTCTCAAAAAAATGCTAAAAAATTCACATGGGTGCAGTGTTGCATGACAGCATAATTGTCATTCAAAGCGCGACAGTGCTGAAAGCTGAAAATTGGCCTGGACTGGAAGGGGGTGAAAGTGTCCGGACTTGAAGAGGTTAAACATTTGTGAGGCCAACATTAGTAAGGATGTATAAAATATACAATTTCCCCATCAGTTCCATAATTGCCTTACTCTTTCAGGTATGAAGCTGAAGATTTTGATTGACAATCTAAGGCAGATTGCCAGCAATACAAAGCTAGCCCTTGTTATCTCCAATAAGAGCGCTATAGAAGAGCTCCGGAAAGCTGTGGCTGCTGGGATTCCTACACGGGTAGGTGAATTTGAAGCTGACCTTCACTCATGAAAACCACTTCCTCTCCTCGGACTCCTCCCTTATGAGCAGTTGGATTTTTTTTTTTCCTTTAACAATACCTTTTTAATTACTATAGTTTTTATGTCTGCCATCCTCACCTAAGAGAGGATAATGTATAGAAATCAGCGAGCGCTTATGATGGTAAAAAGCAACTATACACTAAGAGGAAACCAAAAACCTTCAAAGTAAATATAAATATAAAATTGTGCAGCGCTGAGGTACTAGAATTAATACGTAAGTAAAGTAAACTCAAGTATAAGTAAACTCAATGTATCAAATAAATAGACTCCAAAAAAATATATAAAACACTTATAGTCCCAAATAAAATGATGAAGACAGAGTATTAAGGTATGACCAAGGTGATTTGTGCTAATCCAGGTATGGTGTAATCCCACAATCCATGTGAGCGGCAAGCAAATAGTTAAAGTGCGCACTCACCGGATACGCATAGAATATACGCAGTATATGAATCAATGACGATCCGCCCGGAGTCCCTCTTAAGGATGGTATTGGAGATGACAGCCCAGGGTAGATGGTTACACGTCAAGGTAGGTGCTGCGTCTGGAGGATCCCTTTAAGGATACAGACGCAGCCTCTTCTGGGTAATGGAATGGTCACCACTGTGGGAGGGGGGGCTCTAGGGAGTTAAAAGCTTGCCAAAGACCAACAAAAGGAGATGCCCATAGTGTAGTATGTTAACAATCAAGTATATTTATTTTATTATTCAAGTATATTTATTTGGCAAATGGCATACCCCAACTGATGACGTACTCCTTGTACGAAACGTGTCTTGGAGGAAGCCTGCACGCCCTGACATTACGCCGCTGAATCAGGGAGGTCCGGCGGCCACCACACTTACACCAGCTGGTCAGTGCTCATAGCAGATTTTATAGCCGATTGTTGTATCCACATTAGGAATTTTGCCGCATGTATGTTCGCATTTTATCCTCATTTCATACATTAAATAAATATACTTGATTGTTAACATACTACACTATGGGCATCTCCTTTTGTTGCTCTTTGGCAAGCTTTTAACTCCCCAGAGCCCCCCTCCCCCAGTGGTGACCATTCCATTACCCAGAAGAGGCTGGGTCCGTATCCTTAAAGGGATCCTCCAGACACAGCACCTACCTTGACGTGTAACCATCTACCCCGGGCTGTCATCTCCAATACCATCCTTAAGAGGGACTCCGGGCGGATTGTCATTGATTCATATACTGTGCATATTCTATGCGTATCCGGTGAGTGCGCACTTTAACTATTTGCTTGCCGCTCACATGGATTGTGGGATTACACCATACCTGGATTAGCACAAGTCACCTTGGTCATACCTTAATACTCTGTCTTCATCATTTTATTTGGGACTATATGTGTTTTATATATTTTTTTGGAGTCTATTTATTTGATACATTGAGTATGTGTGTATTAATTCTAGTACCTCAGCGCTGCACAATTTTATATATATAAGAGAGGATGATGTATGCTTTGCCAGCCATGAACTGTCTGCAGTGCGCAGAAAAATGCAGAGACTTGATGATGATGTCACTGGGTCCGCAATAATAGAAATTCTGAAGGAACCCTCTGCACACTGTTATATACCCTTTCCAGCAAACTTTGCAATAAAAAATAGGGGGTTTTAGTTCACACATATTGCAATACATGTTTAGGCTGGCCAACTGCGTCAAAGTAATCCCTTTATGGCCAGTCCTACTCTGCTGTGCCAACACAAATATTACTGTGGACCATAAAATACCGAATTGTCTTGATTTTTTTTTAAAACTTGTATTGGTGAGAAAAGTCCAAAATAGAAAGTCTTTCCAGCTCTTGCAGAAACTCAAAAATGGATTTAATATTAATATCATAAAATTAGAAATAAAATATTGGAATACAGAATATTAGAGAATGTCCAAAAAATATAGTTATTTTTGTGTGTATAATTGTGTGTGTGGGGGTGTGAATCTGTGGGCTCCTTAGTCAAAGTTTCTTAAAAATGTCCTACTAAAAAAGTCTTTTTTCTGCTCTATAAGGAGCAATTCAGCCCCCATCTTCTCCTAAAG